TTTTTTTTTTTTTTTTTTAAGTAGGCTCCATGCCCAGAGTGGAGCCCAACGCGGGGCCTGAATCCCAGATCCCAAGCTGAGATCAAGAGTCAAAAGCTTAACCAACTACGCCACCCAGGCGCCCCTCTTTTTCTTTTTTTAAGATTTTATTTTTAAGTAATCTCTACACCCAACATGGGGTTCGAAACCACAACCCCGAGATCAAGAGTCATATGCTCCACTGACTGAGCCAGCCAGGCGCCCCTCATGTTGGTTTTCTTAACTAACTTCCTTAACTACATCTTGCCTGTCTCACTCTGCTAGAGTAAGCTCTTTCAGAGCAGGTATTTGTATGTGTATCTCTTTGGTGTATCACTGTATTCCCAGTACCTAACAGAATTCCTGACACAAATCAGGCACTAAATATTTATCTAATGTGTGAATGAATGGTTACCTTTAATATGGCCGTCATGAAGACTGAGCAGCCCATCAGCACAAAGATCATAAGGCCTGTCACTCTCTGTTCTCGGATGCCCAAGAACTTGGGTTGTTCTCCAGGAGCAGAGCACTCAGATTCTAGTTTGAGGCTGTTCACGTGTGTGATGGACAGGACAGTTGCAGCCACAAACCAGGGCAGGCCCATGATGGAGCAGACACCCAGCATGATGGCCACCATCAGCAGGTCCAGGTGGTAACCACAACCTTTCTGTGGGGAAACAGAGTATCCGTCACCACCCGTGGGCTGGCTGTAGTGGGGCATAGAACAGTGAGCTAAGAGTCTCAGTCCCAAAGCAGGAAGGGGTATACGGGTAAGGAAGAAGGGGTCCAGGGATCCCAGACGAGTCTTCCAGCCCCTCCTGGTTTGGAGGGAACAGAGAAGGAGAAAAAAAAAAAAAGAAACCTTAGCCTATCCCATACGTGCCATATCCATTTTTTATTCAAGTGCCCTCAGATCTCACCCGGAGTCTCATACATTCAAAGATTCATCTTTTCTTGGCAGAGTAACCAGGGGCCAAGCCACATCTTGATCGTCCTAGTGTCTAGATGGTAGACAATACAGGAGTTGGAGATAAATGGCTTCTTACAAACACTCCCAGATCCTTGACAAAATGGATTTGCCTACTCTATATAAGGAAAGAACAGAGATGAAGGCATGAAGCCTCTCACTAGTAAATGTGCTGGAATCAACCCTATCTCCTTAGAATCCTTGGGCTCAAGGTTCAGTCTGGAAACCCCAGTAATGGACACCAATGGGAGAATATCTGACTCTCGGAAACAGTGGCCCAAGCCCTGAACTGAACCTCAGAAAGAGAAGCCTGTGTAGGGACCACAAGGAATTTTGCCCACCCACCTTCCCCACAGGTTTGCAAGGACAGTAACGGAGTACAAGCTCCCTTCACATCATTCCATCATGCTCTACTCTGGTTTCATCTCCAAACCAATCTTTGTCACTAATGGAGGGATTGGAAACCCCTGAAAACCCTTTATGAGCTCCTTCCATGACTGTTTTTATCCAGGTTCTATCGTTCCTGGTCTAAAAGAGCTTACCTTAAAAAAAAAAAAAAAAAAAGTAACAGGCTGCCGTGTGTCCTTCTAGGTCAGAACTTTCGTTACCTTGAGCTTGTGTTCCTTCCTGTTAATGATGACAGCTGTGATCTGCTGGTCCATGAATATTAAGATAGTGCAGAGAAGAGCTGGGATAATTGCAGCTATCACAGTCCACCAGGGATTGGGGCCAATGGGACTAATAATCCACCCTCGATCATCCCTTGTTGGCTACAGGGGGAAAAAACCAAGTTTTATTTTTGTATTTTAACTAGAGTCATTAGGGCAAAATAGATCAAACTGAATCACAATATCCACATTATTTTTATTCTTAAATGAGAATCCTTTAAAAAAGAAAAAGTCACGTGAGGTGCCTGGGTGGCTCAGTCGGTTAAGCATCTGCCTTCAGTTCAGGTCATAGTCCCGGGGTCCTCGGATTGAGCCCCACTTCGGGCTCCCTGCTCAGCAGGAAGCCTGCTTCTCCCTCTCCCTCTGCCTGCCGCTCCCCCTGCTCATGTTCTCTGTCTCACTTGCTTTCTCTCTCTCAAGTAAATAAAATCTTAAAAAAAAAAAAGTCATGAAATAGAGCAACTCCTTAAGAAATCTATGACCTTATTCCAAATTCCCTTTGAGTCGATCCTCGATTATCAACTTCCTGTGAAATATTCATTAATCCTTCACTTCCTTCCCCTACTCTCCAAACCCACATACAGAGAAAAAAATTTATCTGAACATTAGCCCAAGTAAAATAACAAAATCTGTTGTCAAAAAAGAATTTTAATACAATTATAATTAAGGCAAATATAAATAATTTTGACTATCCTCCTCCAGATTTTGGACTGCTCCCCTCCAGAAGCCTGTAATGTATGTCTACAGCACAAATAAAAGCAGAGTAGAGCCAGTTGCTTGGAATCTCATGGGCTTAGATTGTATTAGTCCAGGGATGAAAGCATGTGAAACAGGAGCCCAGGTACTAGAGACTTGAGAGAAGAGCCCAAGACTACTGAACTTGGGGGCTTGTTAGGTCTAGGGCCCTCTCCAATACCCCTGTAAGACCACTACTGTTCATAAATCTTGTTTGAGTGTTAATGACATACCTAAACTCTCCTAGATCCTCAAACCCCCTCCAGGGTACTCTGGGGAAGAAAAGCTCCCCTTGTTTGGCAAGTAGTAATGGAAGATAAAAGGTCAGGGATACAAAGTGGCCCAGAATTAACCCAAACTCAATGAACAAAGCAAAGACTGTTACAACCAAAGTAGTTGGGTCCATACTGGTCACAACTCTAGGATTCAAAGACTGATCAATAATGCCAACAAATCCCAAATTATGAATGGGTTAAGTTCTGAAAGTTTATAGAATCCGTGTCTCCTTAGTAACAATGTTTTAAGTGATAGTTAAATTCTCAGGTCAACACAAAAATTTACTAAACTCTGACCTACACGGGGCGCCTGGGTGGCTCAGTCGATCAAGCGTCTGCCTTCAGCTCAGGTCACGGTCCCGGGGTCCTGGGATCCAGCTCCCTGCTCAGCAGGGAATCTGCTTCTCCCTCTCCCCTCTGACCACCACCCCCTGCTAGGGCTCTCACTCCCTCACACTCTCTCACTCAAATGAATAAATTTTTTAAAATCTTAAAAAAAAAAACAAAACAAAACAACCTCCGACTGACATTAGCACACTAGTAATAGTACCAGCCTTCGGATTGGGTCTTAATCACCAGGGGCCATGTGACATAATAGGGAAGGAAAGAAGGAAGAAAATTTCTTCTCTGCTCCTGAAAGCGAGTCCTGCCAATGAGCAACATTTTCCTTGACATTCTCCCATTTTCCCTTCTTATCTCTCTCCCACCTCCCAGAGGCCTTCTTCCCAGATGTCCCGGAAATTCAGTACCTTCTGACTATCTTAAGCCTACCCATCAGGGAACCTTTCCAAGGACTACTTAATGTTCTCAAATTACTTATTTTTACACAAAATCCATTCCTCCTGGAGGGTTGACCTCAGCTAGGTATTAGAGAAAAAGCTGACTGCACTCATTCAAACAAAGGTGAAAATGACATATTCTTGGAGGAATTATATTTTTAAAGAGGGTGTTTTTTAATCCACAAATTTCTAACTGATGGCATTGCAGTGCATTTAAAAAAATAAAATTAAAATTTTTCAGGCAATATGGAAAAAGATTTTTTTTTAATCTTTTTTTTTTAAGGATTTATTTATTTATTTATTTGAGACA